ACATTTAGCGACGGAATAGCAACATTTTAGACCGTCGTTAATTTCGCAACGGTTTAAACCGTCGCTAAAAAACACCGATGAGATTTTTAGCGACGGTTACTTGACCGTCGTAAAACCGTTGCTAAAACGTTTTAGCAACGGTTTTTTTATTTAGCGACAGCTTTTGCCCGTCGCTAAATCCCATTTATCCGGTAGTGATTATTGCAATTGGTGTAATAATCTAAGTATGTTTCATATTGAAAATTCAGTGGATTAAATTTTGATTTATTTACGTCACCAAAAACAATCATGTTGTGTCATTTGGGTCCGGTGAAACTAGACTTGTAAGTATTGGTACCGGCCGGCTCGTTTCTATCTCTGCTATTTTTGACAGCTCATTGATAAATTGCATTCTCTCACAAAATATCTTTGATAAAATGTAGGGTATATAACCAAATATATGAAGGGAATTACTAACTAAATTGTCTTATATTTTTAAAATAATGTTAAAATTACTAACTAAATTGTCTTATATTTTTAAAATAATGTTAAAATTACTAACTAAATTGTTATTACTATCATTTGTTTTTCAAAAATTACTAATACATCATCTACTAATATTTATTATATAATAGTTATCAGTAATTAATAAAAAATATATTAGTAATTGTGTAAAAAAAAAAGAATAACAGCTTGATCAACGAATTTCACAGTATCCTGTATCTTATCCACTTATATTCTATTTATTAAGACATTATATATACTATCAATTGGCTTCATTCTACCTACGGACTTAAGAATTTATATTTGTTTTATAATTTTTATAATCTTTACAACGAAATGAGGATCACAAACTGTAATATCCTTATCATATTAAAAATCGTAATAATGATTAGATAAAGAAAAAGGTTATGTAATAATTTATTTTCAATTTTTTTAAATAATAAAAAAATAACAATTTTGCAATTATTAAACGGGTCTCGGCTTGATTCCTGAGAAAGCCACTCCTCAGTTTTCAGACTGAACTAATCCCAGGTCCAAGTCCAAGCCAATCCTCGATCTTTCACACCAAATCCCAACGTGGCCATTAAAGCATTCAGGGTATCAAAGCCACCTCCGACGAGATATTTAAATTTTATAACCTCCATCCATTCTATTAAAAGTTTGAATTAAGGAGATGAAAGCGCTATATGGATGCACGTGCACACGTTTTAAGGGTTGGACCGTTCTACCTTTGATTTTTTTTTTTTTTTTTTTGCTATTAATTTTTTTTTACAAAAAAAGGGTTAAAATTTTTTTTCTTCATTTTTTTAAAAAAGATTTTTTTTTATTTTAAATTTTTTATATATTAATCCCTTTAATTTTTCATAATTAATCAAATTATTATTTGTATATAATTTTTTTATTTTAAAAAATAATTTTTATGTTGTATCATTATCTATCAAAACAATCAACTTCTATAATTAATAAAATATGAATATTTATTGGTTGAATTTAATCAATTGAAATTATTAAATAATTAATTTTAACTGAAAACTTTTTCTTTAGCATGTCAATAAATTTATTTTTGTTATTATCAATCATTAAATTTTAAATATAGTTATATTTATTTAATATTTTTTTATCTTCACATGTTTTATAAGATTTTGTCTTCTCATAATTGATTCAAATATATAATCTGCACTTAAAATTTTTAATTAGAAAACCTTTTTTTTTTTTAAATCTAATTTTATTTTAGTTTTAGTTTTTTAACTATAGGTTTAAAAAGTGAAATTTGTTTTTGGGAGAATAAAAAAAATTAGTGATTAATTTAATGAATTTTTTATTTATAGGTAAACGGGTGAAAAAATGTCTTCAAAAATGAAAGAAAAACATTTTTAATATTTTTTAAATTAATAGTAAAGAAAATTAACAATCATCGAGGTTGATCCCTAGAGACACTAATCTCAGCTCCAAGTCTAAGCCAACCCTGGATCTTTCAAACCATCTCAACATGGCCATTAAAACATTTTCTTAATAACCAAACAGTAGCTCAGATATAAGACCTTTAAAAAAATTTATTTTAGTTTTAGTTTTAGTTTATTAACTAGAGGTTTAAAAAGTGAAAAATTTTTTTGGGAGAATAAAAAAATTAGTGATTAATTTAATGAATTTTTTTTTAATAGGTAAACGGGTGAAAAAATGTCTTCAAAAATGAAAGAAAAACATTTTAAATATTTTTTAAATTAATAGTAAAGAAAATTAACAATCATCGGGATTGATCGCTAGAGACACTAATCTCAGCTCCAAGTCTAAGCCAACCCTGGATCTTTCAAACTATCCCAACATGGCCATTAAAACATTTTCTTAATAACCAAACAGTAGCTCAGATATTAAAAAATTAATATCAATTAAAAATGAACAAAAAAATAAAGAATAAATAGATTTTAAAATATATGGATTATATAATTAATTTTTAAAATAATAAAAACTAATTAATTCGTTTCTCGAAATAGATTAATTTATAATTTACTCTTTATTTGCCTTTTTCAGGTGATTTTATTTTTAAAAATTTAAATAATTTTTTTGGATACCGTGGGCCATCAAAGTAGCGGGGATGTAAATAGATTAATAGTTAGCAACAAGTGTCTAAGGGCTATTGGTTATAATCTGAACAGAAAATATGATATCTTAAAGCCAAAAGTGCTGCCACGTCAGCCATGGGCTTGGTAGATTTCAAGCAGATGAGGTTATCCTTTTTTCTAGATGAACGATTGACACTTGAGTTCAAACCACCCTTGTATTGAACAAAAGATTACGAAATGGATTTTCTTTGGCTACATGTTACTGTCTTCCAGTGAGCTACTGAACCCACACGTTTTTTTCGTATCGATTCATTCTCATCCTCATCATTTTATTTCTGATTATCAAACAAAATGTCAAGACATCAAAGCCTCCTCAGACAAGATATTTAAATTTTACAACCTCCTTCCATTCTATTAAAAGTTTGAATATTTGATTTGTGGAAGGGAAATTGAAGAGGTAGATCATAACGCAATTATTATTTTGAGAATCAAAAGCGTTTGAATCAAGGAGATGAAAGTGCTATATGGATGCGCATGCACACGTTTTAAGGGTTGGGCCGGTTGATCGTTAATTTGTTTTTTTTTTTTGCTATTAATTTGTTTTTTATAAAAAAAAAAGCGTTAAAAGTGCTTTTATTTTACAAAAGAGATTCTTTCTATTTAAAATTTTTACATATTAATCCCTTTGATTTTTTATAATTAATCAAATTATTATTTGTATATAATTTTTTCTATTTTAAAAAATAATTTTTATGTAATATCATTATCTATTAAAACAATCGACTTCTATAATTAAAAGATATAAATATCTATTATTTAAATTTAATAATTAAAATTATTAAATAATTAATTTTAATCGAAAACTTTTCCTTTAGTATGCCAATAAATTTTTTTTTGTTATTTTCAATCATTAAATTTTAAATATAGTTGTATTTATTTAATATTTTTTTTATCTTCACATGTTTTATAAGATTTTGTATTCTCACAATTAATTCAAATATATAATATGCATTTAAAATTGTTAGTTAACTATTTTTTAAAACTTTTCTAATTTTATTTTAGTTTTAGTTTTTTAAATATAGGTTCAAAAAGTAAAAGTTTTTTTAGATAGAACCAAACAAAAAAAAATGATGATAAATTTAATGAATTTTTTATATATATATTTTTTGATAAACCGATGAAAAAATATCTTTTCAAAAAAGAAAGAAAACATTTTAATTTTTTTTTAAATTAACAATAAACATAAAAAATTAACAAAAATGAAAAAAAAAAACTGTTTTAATTTTTTTAAAAATTAACAATAAAAATAAAAATTTAACATGTCAACTGCATTGATTGTTACTAAACTAGGCCGTAGACACCTAATTGCGGTGTCCAAGTCCAAGCCAACCCTCCATCTTTCACATTATCCCAACGTGGCCATTAAAACATGCATTCAAGGTATCAAAGCTAAGTCCGACAAGATATTTAAATTTTACATCATTTATTCTATTAAGATATTTTTCGATAATTAGGAATAAAGTGATGAGCATGATAATGAAAGTTTTATTCCCACGTTATAATTGTTTGATTAAAACAAATGAAATGGGAATGAGAATGAAAAGTGAGAATGTGAATGAAAATTTACACACAACTTTATTCCCATATAAGATGTGGGAATAAAAACAAAAAATGAGAATGAATTTTTTTTCTAAATAGCAATATATTTTATTTATTTATTACCTATTGACTACTTTTATTACCATCACAACCACCACTATCATCTCCATCACCACCGCAACCACCACCACCACCGCAACCACTATCACAACCACCACAATTAGCACTATAAACGCCACCCCTTTTTTGTGAACATAGAGTGATCCGACCGTGATCGTGTAAACCCATATGATAGTAATGCGAAAGTAAGCTTAGAGTGTCATTGCTCGTCGGCTTGTTTCGGACCATAGATGCTCTTTTTCGAGCGGCAAACCATGTTTGGATGGGGAGTTCAAGACTCGTCGGTGGTTTCATGAAGACTTCTTCATGTAAGTCACCATGCAAAAAGGCATTATTGATGTCGAGTCGGTGCAAGTGCCAATTTTGAGCAGTATTGTGAGGGTTAGTAAAACTCGAATCGTGGTAAGTTTTACAATAGGGGAGAATGTTTCAATATAGTTGAGACCCTCTTGTTGTGTAAAGTCTTTGGCAATTACTCGCTTTTGTAACGTTGAAGACTTCCATCGGCATTAAATTTGAATCGATGAACCATTTACGATCAATTAAGGATTTTTCGGGAGGTAAGAAAGTAAGCTCCCAAGTCTCATTATTTGCCGGTGCTTGTAATTTTGCTTCGCATAGCATCACACCATTCACTATGCTACATGGCTTGTGTGTATGAGGTCGGTTCTTTATGGAGTGTGAGAGCGAGAGAGAAGGCTTGATGTTAGGGTGATAAATGGTTATAGGAGAAGACATATGATAAGGTATAGGGTGATGTGTAAGGTAGGATACGACGGTCATAATCTGCGAGGTAAGAGGGGGCTTTGATCGTCGAAGAGCGGCGGATGTCGGGTGGTTGATAAGGCGATGATGATTGAGGTGAAGGTGAGGATGATGATGGTGGAGAATGCCGAGGAGATGGGAATAATGAAGTGTTTAGGTGAGGTGGAATATCATAAGATGTAGTATCCGAAATGGTTGGTAAAATAAGAGTGGGTATGGAAGAGTGATTTGATGAAGCAAGAAATGGAAAGTGTTCTTCATAAAAGATCACATCTCGAGATAAGAAGATCTGTCCGGAATCCAAATCATATAATTTATAGCCTTTTATACCCGTAGAGAAACCAAGAAACTCACATTTCCTTGCCCTAGTATCAAACTTTGCTCCGTTTCTTCGTTGTGGTAGAAGCAGCGAGAGGCGACCTAATACTTTCAAGGTGGTTAGATCGGGGTTAGTATGAAAGACAATAGAGTATGGTGATTTGTGAGAGAGAAGGGAGAGGGAATTCGATTAATGAGGTAGACTCCAAGGAGAACACAATCGGACCGGAATCTAATTGGTAGATTTGCTTGTATTTTCGGTGCTCGTGCAACACTTAGAATGTGTTGATGCTTTCTTTCGCCCTCCAATTTTGTTGAGGTGTTTCAACACATGTGGTTTCATGTAAAATTCCCTTTTCTTTGAAAAATTCAGTCATGAAGAACTCCATTCCATTATCACTGCGTATGACTTTAACTTTTCTTTTGAATTATCTTTCAACGTAAGCGCAAATTTTTTTGATTAACTCTCTTGTTTCGGACTTTTGTTTCATCATATATATCCAAGTCATCCTGCTATGGTCATCCACAATAGTTAAGAAGAATTTGTGACCATAAATAAAAGGGGTATGGTAAGGTCCCTAGATGTTAATATGTATTAGATCAAAAAAGAAATTGCAATAGATGTACTTAGAGATAAAAGGTAATTTTTTTTGTTTAGCAAAATGACAAACATAACATTGATTTGTGGAATGGAAAATGATAGAAGGGTCTCGTTCTAAATAGGACTTGTAGTCTTTGATTTGAAAGGTGTCCTAGTCTTTGGTGCCATGATATTATTGGAGGTGTAGTGGCTTTACATAAAAGAGTGTTGTGAGCTTGAGGTGGTGGAGAAAGATAATAGAGGCCATTGACTTGCTTAGCAAAACTAATCATCTTCAATGACTTGGTGTCCCGAATTTGACAAGAGACTAGAAAGGGTAAGTTTGCTAATGGAAATCAAATTGAAAAAAAAAATTGAGACAAAAAGAACATTAGTAAGGATGAGGGAAGATATAGTGAATGTGCCTATATGTGCGACCGAAACATATTGACCATTGGGTAACCTTACAGTTAAACCATTGATTCTTTTACGAGGAGGAAAAGTAGTCCAAGGAACAAATGATGTGATCGGTAGCACTTGAATCAAGGATCCAAGGGGATGACCATAAATCGGAAGATGGAACGAGTATAGAAATACCTTTATGATTAGTAGAGATTGTGTTGATTTGAGGAGTGACAATAGATTTTCCTTTTGAATCGCCTCTTTGCTTAGGAGTTGTAGTAATCGTGTGTATTGTTCTGCGAGTAAGATGATAGTTGGAGCTATATTGCGAAAGTTCTTTGATTGCTTGGAGGAAAGTCGACCTCGTAACAAGGGTCGACCGTGTGAGACTCGACTTGATTGGCCGATCGAAACCCGGTGTGAAGGTTGTCTTTGGAAGTGTATGTGTTTCGGGTATTTGGGGAAAAATTTAGTGGAAAGCCATGTTTCCGATAGCATTTTTGCTTCTATATGCCCACTATTATCACGAGTAAGTGCATATAGGTTTTTTTGTTGATTGAAAAGTTTTTCTAGGATCTCGTTCTTGCATAGAAGGCTTGGGGTTCAATGGAGGGTGAGGTACAAGAGTGGTGGAGGGTATTGTTGAGTTGCCTCTCATGTTGTACAACTATGGCAAAAACTCTTTTAATGTCGTGCAAGGGATCTATAAGCATGATTTATGATTTCACGAGTAGAATAGGACTCATTTAGCCCCCGAGGAATCCGATAATGCAATCTCCATCTTGATAAGTTTTTATGACTTTCAAAACATCACATGAACACCGAGGTTCACACTTACATGTAGGCATTGGTCCGAGGTTGAAGAATTCATCCCACGACATTCGAAGTGGGTGTAGTAGTCCGAAATAGAGAGTGTTCCCCGACGAAAGCCGTAGATCTCCTCTTGAAGATTTGAAATCCGAAAAGAGTCGACTTGAGAGAATCTATCCTCTAGGTCATTCCATACATCAACTGCAGAGTCAAACCATATAACACTTTGTGCTATTGAGTCCGTAATAGATCTCATTAACCATAAGAGTACCATTGTGTTACATCTTTCCTAATAGGTATAGAGAGGATCATTTTTAAAGGGTGTTGTAATGGAACCATCAATAAATCTAAGTTTATTTTTGGATAATAGTGCCATACGCATTGATCTAGACCATGAATGATAATTGGTACCAATCAATTGAGAAGAGACAAGAATAAGAGAGGGATTTTCATTTGGGTGAAGATAATATGGGCTAACTGGGTGATCTTCCGGGCTTTGTGTTTTGGTGATGATTTTGTTGTGCATAAGATGGCCCCGACATGATGAAAGAAAAAGAGCCAAAAAAGAAAGCTATAAAAGGAAGGCTAAAGGAAGAGTTGAAAGTGACACATCAATCACAAGCAAAGTAAGCTAAAGCACCGAAAAGAAGGTCGTGGAAAGAAAAGAAAAAATTACAAAGCAACCTTGGTCCGATAACATGACAAAATTCATAGAGCAAACATTTTTACATATTATTGATTAATTATAAGAGAGCTATATATACGCTCTTTGTAAAAAGCAAACCAAAATAAGTTACAACAATATTCCCGGAATCTTGGATCCTCGCAGTCGATTCTAGAAAGATGTATACGACACTTGCAAAGGAGGGAAAGGTAACCGTTTATAACGGGTATAACAAAATCGGGAAAGAAGAGACACGGAAGAGAGGACGAAGTGGGTCGTAGCATGAAAAAGGAAGTGTGGCCCATGAAGTCATGTGAGTGGGCTTGATAAAGTGTGTGGACTTGATGAAGTGGGCACCTGGTCCTCTTTAATATGGCTCAACAAAAAACACCACCAACACTACCGTTATTACCACCGCTAGAACCACAATTGTCATAACCACCACCACCACCACCATCATCATCTTAATTGTTTTTACAACTATTATAGTTTAATAAAATTATTTTTTTAATCATTATTTTTATTTGTATAAAAAAATCGGATATTAAAATATTTAAATTTCATTCCGATTCTTCATTAGTATTCCAAACACGGTATGAAAATATAAATGTTATTCTAATTCCTTAATTTTTATTTCGATTTCTGCATTCTCATTCTCATTCCTATTACTCTATTCCTCGTTACTAAGCGAGCACCTCAAAGTCTAAATATTAGATTTGTGGAAAGGAAATTGAAGAGGTAGATCTAAACGCATTTATTATTTTGAGAATCAAATGCATTCGAATTAAGGAGATGGAAGTCCTATATGGATCCTCATGCACGCGTTTGAAGGTTTGTAGCGTTTGACCATTATTTTTTCTTTTTGCTATTAATTTTTTATAAAAAAACATTAAAAAAAAATTCTTTATTTTTTAAAAGAGATTCTTTCTATTTAAATTTTTTACATATATCCTTTGATTTTTCATAATTAATTAAATTTTTATTTGTATATAATTTTTTCAATTTTAAAAAATAACTTTTATATAGTATCATTATTTATTAAAATAATCAACTTTTAAAATTAATAAAATACAAATATCTATTGGTTAACTTTAATCAATTGAAATTATTAAATAATTAATTTTAACTGAAAGATTTTCCTTTGTCATGCCAATAAATTTATTTTTGATATTGTCAATCATTAAATTTTAAATATATTTATATTTATTTAATATTTTTTATCTTCATCTTAGGGAGAACCAAATAAAAACAACGGTGATAAATTTAATAAAAAAAAATTTTATAGGTAAACAGGTAAAAAAAAAATTATCTCTTAAAAAATGGAGGAAGAGCATTTTTAATATGTTTTTAAATTAACAGCAAAAGAAAATTGCGGTCAACAAATAAGAGCCTCTAATTGAAAACCTCTTAATGGAAGAAAGGACACAGATGTCAATTGAATCACAACTCAATGGCTAAATTTTACAAGTTGAATATAAAGTATATCCTTCAAAACCACCAGTTTTTTTCCGGTATAATTATTACCCTGCTAATAATTAATTTTCTAGTTTAAAAAAGATGAAAGAAACAAAATTAATTTAATAACTACAATTTTTTAACTTTATTATCCCGCTTTAAACATACCTTTAGGATTTTTCAATAAGAGGCCTAAAGCTAAAACTTCAGGAGGAAAAAGCATGGGAATTTAAGAATAAATTAGAAGAATTTTATTTCCTATTATGTAATTCAAGGATGTTCATTAAAAAAAAAAAAAAAACAAACAACAAACAAACTATGTCAGCCTAAAGAGTTGGCCTAGTGGTTAAGAAGACTTATTCCATTTCATGGCTTTTTAAATTTAAATTTTAGGATTAGCTATCAAAAGAATTTATTAAATTTCTCTAAATGCACTAAGTACATGTAAGGGTATGTCTTTAAGATTATTAAAAAAAAAAATCTTAATTGTCAGATAAATTAACTTAAAAATACCCTTGCTATCGGGAAAAAAAATGTAGTGATAATATATATGTGGAATGCAATCAAATTTTTAATTGTGCAAAAATATTTCAGATGATGACAAAGGCAGAACAAATGGAAAGATAAAATTTAATGGAAAACAAAAACCCTCCGAGAAGATATTTGAGAATTGAATAAATTTCAACTCAGACTTGACAAGTAGCGTATTTTTTTCAATGGTAATAGTATTTTTAGATTAGTTTGTTTATTAATCAAGATTAAATTTTTTACAGATGATTTTAAAAACGTATTTTTTATATCGATTGGTGTATTTAAAGCAAAATTAATAAATCCTTAAAAAATTAAAAGATGAAATAAATCTCCAAAACTACCCTGACCAAATAGCTTCTTGATGTACACATAGCATTTAATCATTTTCAATCATTCTCCGCCCAAATGGAAACACACGCACATGATGCAAATGGTACTTTAATTATTATTAATCATCTGGTCCCAGAAAAAAAATCCTGGAAATTTGCACTCAAATCCTTCTGTTTTTCACATGTGGGTTTCGTTTTTAGAATTGATCTTAGACGTACTGCATATAAATGCCGTAGTTTGATGCTCTCTACCACCGACTTCACAAAACTTTGTGGAATATATATATATATATATATATATATATATATGAATGAAATATTTTTAAATTAATTGAAACTAAATTTATCATTTATAAGTTAAATAAGTTTCAGAAATTTTTGTTTTTGGCCAACTTTTGAGTTATCTTTTATACCAAATCAATCCAAATCTAATATTAGAGAAAGATAATTATGATTAATTATTTATAAAGAGTAAAAATTCATAGTTTATTGTTATTAAATAAGTAAATTATGCTTGGTATGTCGAAATGAAAAAACCCATAAAAAGGTTAACATTAAATATGATAAAGAGAGATGAATTTGTTTAATATAAATTTAATTAATGGTGAAGTGTCCATGGTAATACCGAAACAGAGACAGTGGTGTCATGAATTTACTTGATTTATAAATAGAAAAAAGAGTAAATGGCATGTTGTTGTATAAGCAAGACACCAACTTACAGTAACCAATCACGAAATCCAGCTCTTGGAAACCCATCTTCTTAATGATGAAGCAGATTATGACTATCACTGAATTATTAAATATCAGCTTTCAATTAATGGAAAACTTCTATACCTTCATTACAAAAACTTTCAGCGAAACTGCAGAATACAAATACAATAACATTATTGAGCATGTCTTTTGATTTCAAGACTTGTTAGCGCCAAAAGGAGGAAAATTGTGATCAATTCAAAGGTTAACAATTAATCCCCACTTGCGTTACTAATAGCCTGCTGTACTTCATTTCCAACTAACCAAAAACATAAATTTTCATGTCTTGTACTCATGGGCAAACAAGCATATTCAATGTACACATGCCAACACTGACTTCTCCAGTAAACATTCCTGGATTGGTTAAACCCAACGCCACCTACCTTGAGTAAATTATAAATTAGTCACTCTGGTTTTGAGAAATTAATTAATTAGTTCTATTGGTTTCAAAAACTAATTATTTAGTCTCTTTTGTTATTTTTTAATTTATTTTTGCTTTTTTATTTTCAGAAATAGAAAAAAATGAGTAAAAATATGAAAATATTGAGGAGAAAAAAACACATTTTATAAAATAAAAATATTAAATTAGTTATGGTCAACACTAGTTAGAAAGACTAAATAATTAGTTTCTAAAAGTATAATACTTATTAATTTATTTTTTAAAACAAGAGAGACTAATTTATAATTTACTCCTCCTATTTATCTTATAGCATCCATGCATACATCTCCGATACTTTACATTCATGGTTACAGGCTAGGTGAACGAAGTATCTTCAGTCGAATAATTAGGGGCCCATGTGTTTTTTTTAAATTATTATTATTATTATTTTCTCTTTCGGAGCCGGCTCTATAATATATGTGGTCCTAGGTAAACTAATATTTTAGAGACTCTTTCTTAAAAAAAATAAATATTAAACATTATTTAAATTTTATTTTTCTTGCTTTACGAGATGCAAAATCTCTAATTAAATTTTTGTATTTAAGTTTACAAAGCAAATATTTTTCAATTGATAATATAGCCAAATTACTTAATCTTTCTTATGACATAATTGAACGTAAATAAGATTTTATTAATTTTAATTTTGAAAAACTTCTTTTAGTCAAAGCTACGGTAACATGGATAGTTAATAGTATTCTATATGCTATCCATGCATTTGGAAAAGAATTTACCTTTTTTATAAAATTTAGTACGGCAAGTGGTGTTTTCATTTCCATAGTTATAATTTCTTTTAAAACTTTTAATTCTGAAAATAAATCTAAACCATCAATATCAGAAAGCATATCGTGCTTTAGAAAGTTTTCAAGATTTAAATAATTTTTTTTCAAAATATCATCATCGAGTGATTTTAATTTTTCTACACTATAAAGAAAACCAAAATTATCTTCATATATTTTAAATTGTTCAAACCTATTTTGAAGAGAGGAAATCGCATGATCAACTAAATATGTAAAATAATTAATTCTAAAAGATTCTTCAATAGATAATTTCATGTCTTCATTTTCAATCTCATCAAATTGTTTCTTTCTTCTTATTGTATGCTTTTCACGAAATTTTGATTCTATATTCATTTGCTCTACAATTTTCTTAGCCAAGATCATAGAAGATGTAAACCCATTTTCTCTATAGCTTTTTAAAAAAGAAATAAGACCTTTCAAGTGGTCTATTGCAAGAGCAATATCCATATCTTTAGATTGTAAATATTTACTAACCGTATTAACGAGTAAACAACATATCATACCAAATAATCATGCCTAATAGAAATTCAAAATTTTCAATCTCATATGTTGCTAAATAAATAGCTTCACTTTTTATTTTAGGATCCTCACAAGTTTTTGCTAATTGATATAAAACATCTCTTATTTGCTGAGCTTGAAATCTAATTGCTTTTACACTTTCAATA